TTTCTTGGTGCTGTCTTTTTTGGGGAGGGTGTGCTCTGACCAGCAGGCAGAGCTCACAGCTACGACCAGGGCCACTCTAGGTGCCGCAAACGGGCCTCCAGGGCCATTTTGAGCTAAAATACCAACCTAGGCAAATATCTGCTCTGCAGGAACGATCCGGTGAACCGAATGTGAGAGCTTGTCCTGACTGTCTCCTGGCCCTTTGGGGTTTGTTGCAGGGTTTCCAGAGTTGGACAGTGACATTGTTGGCACAGGAACAGCACCGCAATGGTAGCTGCTGGGGGCAGGGCATACTGGGGCGGGGTCTGTTCGAGTTTGGGTCGAAGCTTAAAAGCTTAGGTCCTCAGGGCCACCTGTGTGTTGCTGTTCCTGTTCTCAGGCCCATCTTGCTGGGTAGGGGTGGCAGTCACTGTCCAGTAGTGAGACAGGGAGAAGGTGAGGTCATCCTGCAAGTCACGGTCATGTGTGTGGGCAGTGGGAAGCCAGGCAATTTGAAAACTTACAGAAAGAATCTGTTTGTTTTGGTTTCTCTTAGGGGTTGAAAAAAAAATCTGCTTGAGCCAGGACCAGATGGCTCTAGGGCTGGGGTAGGGCATGGGTATTTCAGGTATTTGTAAATACAGGACATTCATGGGGAACTCACTTTGGGAAGCTCCGCCTGAGACCCCCGGCAGGATAGGGATCCAGGTCAGAGCTGCAGGACACAGTCTGAGGGTGCTGTGGGGGAGCGCCAGAGACCTGGGAGTGCCCCAGAGCTGCAGGGGAAGGTCTTCTGGTCATCCCCATGGCCCCTCGAGCTCTGCTCAACTTGAGTTCTCTGGGAACTCTCTTCCCAGTTTTCTCTGGGAAGTCCTCTGCCTCCCTGTGGCCCGACATCGTAGCGTCATGCTGTCCTCCTCCTCCAGCTGCCCACCCCCATTCCCCTTCTATGCAGGGCTGGCTCACTCCCCAGAGCTCCCTGAATTCTGTTCCCTGCTGCCCTCAGGGAGCACCTGCCAGGCCCAGCGAGGGTGGGATGGAGCCGGGGGAAGAGTAGGCAAGGCCTGCAGCCCAGCAGCGTGGAGAGTGGAGGGACAGACTGCTCTCGGTGTGTCCTGCTCCTGTGCCCAGAGGCTGCCTGGCCGTGTCTGAGGCAAGCCTCTGTGGCCGTTTGGCACTTTACATTTTGCTGTGTGTCACCTTGTTTCCTTTGGCCGCAGCTGCTGCTAAGGTGGCCTCTGTCCTCAGCGGGGTGGTGCTCGGTGGGTGCAGAGCAGGCTGAGTGCAGTGGCAGACAGTCTTTAAAATTGTTTGAAAAATATTTTTAGTTGTGGTTAAAAACACATAACATGAAATTTACCATTTTAATTTTTAAGTGCACAGTTCAGTCGTGTTAAGTATATTTGTGTTGTTGTGCAGCTAATCTCCAGAACATACCACGTGCGGAGTGAACCTCCACGCCTGTCAGACAGCTCTCCCTTCCCCGCCTGCCGGCCCCGGTCTGCTCTATGATGAGTGAAACTACCCTCCCGACCTGCATGAGGGGTCAGTCACACGGGGCTTGTTGCCCTGTGGCTGGCTTATTTCACTCAGCGTGATGTCCTCGAGGTTCCTCCTGTGGCAGCACGTGTCAGTGCATCATTCCTTTCGATGCCAAATGACTTCCTTGTGTGGCCGGACCGCACTGTGCTTATCCATTCACCCGGTGGGCGCTTGGGTTGCTTCCACAGGCCAGCGGTCATGAATCATGCCGCTGCGACCTTGTGTGTTCTAGTATCTCTTTGAGACTCTGCTTGCAGTTCTTTTAGGTATTTACCCAGAGGTGGAATTGCTGGATTGTATGGTCGGTTTTTGTTTGTTTGTTTGTTTGTTTGTTTGTTTGCTTTGTTGCTCAGGCTAGAGTGAGTGCCATGGGATCAGCCTAGCTCACAGCAACCTCAAACTCCTGGGCTCAAGCAATCCTTCTGCCTCAGCCTCCCGAGTAGCTGGGACTACAAGCATGCACCACCATGCCCGGCGAATTTTTTCTATATATATCAGTTGGCCAATTAATTTCTTTCTATTTATAGTAGAGACGGGATCTCGCTCTTGCTCAGGGTGGTTTCGAACTCCTGGCCTTGAGCAATCCGCCCACCTTGACCTCCCAGAGTGCTAGGATTACAGGCGTGAGCCACTGCGCCTAGCCCGTATGGTCGTTTTATGTTTAATTTTTTTTTAGCAACTGCCCCACGGTTTTCACAGTGCTGCACCATTTGACATTCCCGCCAACCGGGCACGGAGACTTCCAGTTTCTTCACATCCTCGCCAATACCTCTCCTCTCCTCTCCTCTCCTCTCCTCTCCTCTCCTCTCCTCTTCTCCTCTCCTCTCTCTCCTCTGCCTCTCCTCTCCTCTCCTCCTCCTCTCCTCTCCTCTTCCTCTCTCTCCTCTCCTCTCTCTCTCTCCTCTCTCTCCTCTCCTCCTCTCTCTCCTCTCGTCTCTCTCTCCTCTCTCTCACTCTCCTCTTCCTCTTCTCTCCCTCCTCTCCTCGTACTCTCTCTCTCCCGTTCTCCTCATCCTCTCCTCTCTCTCCTTCTCCTCTCCTCTCCTTCTCTCTCTCCTCTCTCTCCATCTCCTCCTCTCTCTCCTCTCCTCTCCTTCCTCTCCTCTTCTCTCTCCTCTCTCTCCTCTCTCTCCTCTCCTCTCTTCCTCTCCTCCTCCCGTCTCCCGCTCCCGCCTCCCTCCCTCCCTCGCCTCCCCTCCCCTCTTCCCTCCTGCCCTCCCTCCCTCCGTCCCCTCTCCCTCCCTCCCCTCCCCCTTCCTTCCCCTCCTCCTCTCCTCCCTCCCCTCCCTCTCCTCCTCCCTCCCTCCCTCTCTCTCGCTCCCTCCTCCTCCCTCCCTCCCCTCCCCTCTCCCCTCCCTCCTCTCTCTCCCCTCCTCACCTCCCTCCTCCCTCCCTCCCCTCCTCTCCTCTCCTCTCTCCTCCTCCCTCTCCCTCCCCTCCCCGGTCACTATTCCTTTTTTTGTTGTTAAATTTTATATATTTTTACTTAATATTTTCTTTATTTTTTTTATTTTTTTGCCTCTAAGGGGAGTTAATACAGTTGTGTATCTTTCTTTTTTTGATAGCAGCCATCCTAGGGGTTGTAAAGTGGAATCTCATCGTGGTTTTGAGCTTCTCACGTGCTTACTGGCCATTTGTATCTCTTCTTTGGGGGAAATGTCTATTAAGTCCTTTGCCCATATTTTAATCAGGTTGTTTGGTTTTTTGGTGGTTGAGTTGTAGTTCTTTATATATTCTGAGTTTTATTCACTTATCAGGTGTGTGATTTGCAAATATTTCCTCTCATTTTGTAGGTTGTCTTTTTTTCTCAGTTGATTGTTTCATTAGATGTGCAGATCTGAACTTTGATATAGTCCCACTTGTCTATAGAATTTTTGGCGGAGGAGTGGGGGACAGGGTCTTAGTCTGTCACCCAGGCTGGACTGCAGTGACACCATCATAGCTCACTACAACCTCATACTCCTGGGCTCAAGCAATCCTCCTGCCTCAGCCTCCTGAGTAGCTGGGACTGCAGGTGTGAACCACCACGCCCGGCTAATTTTTCTATTTTTTGTAGAGGCAGGGTCTTGCTCTTATTCAGGCTGGTCTCCAACTCCTGGCCTCAAGTGATCCTCCCTCCTCAGCCTCCCAAAGTGCTAGGATTACAGACGGGAAGCCCTGTGCCTGGCCTGTAAAATATTTTTTACTTCTAAATAATTACGGATTCACAGGAAGTTGCAAAGGCAGCACAGAGAGGGCTTGCGTGCTCATCACAGTTTTCTTCTGTGCTCACATTGATGCAGCTCAAGCCCAGTACCAGACCAGAGCTTGTCATGGTCTGTGCGTGTCAACCCGTGTGACGCATTAACAAGACACAGAATGTTAATATCTCCATTGCCAATGTATTTCCATCTCGTCCTGCCTCTCGTGGCCAGCCCTCCCCAGCCCTGGCGGCCACTGCTCTGCTGGAGGGGCTGTGGGCCGGCGGCTTTCGGTGGGTCACGCCCTCAGGTTCCTCGTGGTGGGTGTCAGTGGTTTGGGGAGCAGCGGGTATTTGGTGTACCTCGTGCTTACAAAAGAAAGGGACTGCACTGATTACGTTGCTTCAAGCGAACGGATTTTCCCAGCACGAGAGAGAGCGCTGAGGCAAGCGTTGGCGCAAAGGCGCTGGCGGGGTCCTGCTTCGCCAGCTGAGCAGGAGCGACGGAGTCCCTGCGGGGCTGGGGTGCATTGTGTCTACACCCCCTTACCCCAGGCAACAGTGGGCGTTGGCCAGGGGCTTCCAGGGTGTCCCGCCTGTCACGTGCTCCCGTGTCAGCCTCGCGAATTCGCAGCTCTGCCTGCTGCCGCCAGGGGATGCTCCGGCGGTGTGGACGCGGCCCCTGGGAGTCCTCCAGACCCGGTGCTCAGTCGCTTGTCGTGGCTCTGCCCGCCCAGACTGTCCCCAGCGTCTCCTGGTCCTCGGAAACCGCCGAGACGTCCAAGGCAAATCTTCACGGATACCACGCGGGGCCCCCGTGGTGCCTGATGGCGTCTGGCTTGTTGGTGTCGCGGCAGGCAGCAGGCGTGGCACAGCATCTGGGCGGCCCTGTCTGTGCGCCGCCCCCGGCAGGCCGAGTCTCCAGTTCTCCTTTCGCAACGTAACTCTTGGTTCTGCTCCGTCTCTGGGCCCGTCTGCCTGGCCGCCCGGCGCGTGTGGCAGTTTCCCCGAGGAAGCTCCCTGGGCCCGCAGGGGCTGGACGGCCTCTGGCACTCCGTGTGGTCAGGCTTGGCTTCGGAGGGTGCGAGGGGCGCCGTGCCCGCCACACGCACCTCTGCAGCTGCAGCCTCACCAGGCCACCTCCTGGGGTTCACTCGAGAACCAGGTCCTCTGGTCAGCACCGTGTTCCATAGGGCTGGGAGCCGCCCGTCTTTCCCAGGGATTCAGCAGTTTAGGGCATTTTTTGTCATTTTTAAAAGAGAAACACACATTTTTCTCATTGACCACTCGTACCAATGTTCACCACGCGTAAGAAAAGTGCACACCTCGGTGATCGTCCTGTGAACTGCACCTCGGAACTGATCACCGGTCGTGGAATGAACAGTGCCCCCCAGATATGTCCACATCCCGACCCTGGACCTGTGAACGGCCGTGTCGGCAAGTCAGGATGACAGGCAGATAACCTGCAGTGGAGGGGCCAGCCCTCCCTCGCCTCCCCCCAGATATGTCCACATCCCGACCCCAGACCTGTGAACGGCCGTGTCGGCAAGTCAGGATGACAGGCAGATAACCTGCAGTGGAGGAACCAGCCCTCCCTCGCCTCCCCCCAGATATGTCCACATCCCGACCCCAGACCTGTGAACGGCCGTGTCGGCAAGTCAGGATGACAGGCAGATAACCTGCAGTGGAGGAACCAGCCCTCCCTCGCCTCCCCCCAGATATGTCCACATCCCGACCCCGGACCTGTGAACGGCTGTGTCGGCAAGTCAGGATGACAGGCAGATAACCTGCAGTGGAGGAACCAGCCCTCCCTCGCCTCCCCCCAGCGATGTGGGCAGATTCAGGAAATTGTTGAAATTGGAGAACTAACGCCGTGGCCTCTCAGGAGGAAGGACGAGCGCACGAGCCCTCTCCTCCCCGCCTGGCCTTGGCCTGTCCAGTGCTCGGCGGGCATCCCGCGAGGAGGCGCCGGCGAGTGGGGGGGTCAGTGAGCCACGTGGGCGCCACGGCACCCGGCTCTGCCCGCCAGCTGTCTGTCCACTGTGGAGGCGGCCAGGTGGGACCTCAGGACGGGCTGGCAGGGACTGGGCTTCGGTGGTGGGTGCTGGCCTGGCTGGGGCACTCCTGGCCTCCATGCTGCTGGGCAGCAGGTGCCTGGTCTTCAGTCTGGAGCAGGGAGCCTGGTGTGTCCGTGCTGGGGTGGACTTCTTGTTGACGGGCTGTGGTGGCAGGAGCAGGCCTGGGCCCCAGCGCCTGGGGAAGCCAGTCCTGGCCCTGCTGTGCCCCGCCCCTGTTCCTGTCTGAGCTCCGGCATGTGGGGCGGCCAGGGAGCACACACAGTTGCTCCCAGCGCCCTCACGGTTTCTCTTCTGCTTTCAGTCACCTCGTTCCGCACTTTTCCGAATCGGGCAGATGAGCAACGTGGAGCTGGATGATGAGCTTTTAGACCCGGTGAGTGGGGGAGGGGCTGTGGCTTGCCAGAGGGCCAGAGGGTGGGCGCGAGCAGATGACAGGCAGACAGCAGGGCTCTGAGGCCAGGTGCCCGGGGAAGGCTGCTCCGGAGGGACAGAGCCCGAGGCCAGTGACTGTGGACAGCCAGGTGGGCAGAGGAACGCAGGGCTCCCGGGCCGGCAGGGTGAGCGTGCTGTGGGCACAGGAAGCTAGTTGGCACAGGTGCTGTGGGCAGTGGCTCTGCGGCAGGGTGGGGAGAGGGAGCCCTCGGAGATGGTGAGGGTGAGGGTTCTGGCGTCCCCTGCTAACAACCCCAGCCACCATGCCGGCGGCTGTCCTGGGAAGGCTTTCTGAGGCCCCCTCGCAGCAGAACCGCAGTTTCCTTCCTCCTCGGTGGCGCCTCACGGTGGCTGTGATTTGTGTTCCTGGTGCCAGTGAGGCCGAGCGTCTTCATGTGCTGCTTATCTCCTCTGGAGAAACATCTGTTCTGATCCTGTGCCAGTGTTTTTAATGTGGTGAAAACACTCGTACTGAGAATGAGAATGAGCCGGGTGGCTGGAGTTCAGGTGAGCAGTTCTGTTGGCAGCATCCGGAGCGTCCTGGTCGGGACATTCTCCCCAGCGGGTCCCGCGCGGCCACGTCAGTGCGCCAGTCCACGGCCCATCTGGTCTGGAGCCTGCTGGCCTTGTCCACGCGAGCACAGCGTGTCGTCATCCGTCTTCTTCGTGGCAGGCTCAGTGGTCAGGTGACCTGGTGGTCAAGCTTGTCCCCTTTGTTTTCACTTTCCTGATGTGTCTTTTGATACACAAAAGTTTTTCATTTTGCTGAAGTTGACTTTATCTGTTTTTTCTTTTGTTGCTTGTGCTTTTGGTGTCACGTCTAAGAAACCTCTGCCTAAGCCAGGGTCACAAAGCCATCTTTTTCTCAAAGTTTTGTAGCTTTAGGTCTTTAACTCCACTCTGAGTTAGTTTTTGGACATGGCGTAAGGTCCAGTTGCGTCCTTTTGCTTGTGGAAATCCGGTTGTACCAGCACCATCTACTGAAAATACTGTTTTGCTCCATCGAACAGTCTTGACCCCACGTTGAAAATCAGTTTACTGGAGTGTTTCTGGTTTACTCCTGGACGCTCCACTGTGTCCCATGTGTCTGCACGTCTCTCCTCGTGCCAGCGCTGCCCTGCCTGGGCTACGTAGCTTTGAGGGAAGTTTTGAAACTAGGAAGTGTGAGTCCTCCAACTTTTTGTTCTTCCTTTTCAAGATCTCTTGGGTTATTCAGGGTCCCTTTTCTTCCACAGACTTTAGGGTCACCTGGTCAATTTACTCCAAAAAAATCAGCTGAAATTCAGGCAGGGATCAATTGAGTCTTAACAAGGGTAAGTCTTCCTATGTGTGAACACAGAATATCTTACCATTTATTTAGATCCATCCTTAGTATCTTCGGCAATGTTTGATAAGCTAGGCACAGTAGCTCCTGCCTTTAGTCCCAGCTGTTTGGGAGGCTGAGGCGGGAGGACTGCTTGAGGCCAGGAATTCGAGACCATACTGGGCAACATAGCAAGACCCCATGCATCTTAAATTGAAAAAAAAACAAAACAATGTTTGGTAGTTTTCAATGTACAAGTTTTATATTTCTTTTAAGTTTATTTTAGGAATGAATTTTCTTTTATGTAGTTTGTTTTTGATGCTGTTGTTAATAGAATTGTTTTGATTTCATTTTCGGATTTCTCATCGCAAGATTACAGAAATACAGTTGAGTTCTATCCCCTTCTATGCTACTGAATGTGTTTACTTGAATAACTTGTAGTGTGTTTTGGGGGATTTCATATATATGAGATCATGTCACCTGCAAATAGAGTTTTGCTTCTTCCTTTCCAATCTAGATGCTTTTCATTTCTTTCTCTTGACTGGTTGTCCTGGCTAGAGCCCCCGTGCAGTGTTGAGTAGAAGTGGCAAAAGCGAGCGTGGCCACTTTGTTCCTGGTCTTAGGTGAAGCTTCCTGCCATTCACCGCTAAGTGTGTCGCCTGTGGGGCTTTCGTAGGTGCCCTTGATCTTATTGAGGAAGTTCTCTTCTCTTCTAGTTTGTTGAGTGTTTCTACCACGAACAGATGTTGGATCTTGTCGGATGCTTTCCCCGTATCTGCTGAGACGACTGTGTGGGTCTTGTCCTTTCTCCCATTGAGATGACATAGGACATTAATTGCTTTTTGGGTGTTAAACCAACCTTGCATTCCTGGGCTGGATTCAGCATGGTTGTGGTGTTGCTGGATTTGCTTTGCTCTCCAGTCTTGCTGGGGATTTTTGTGTCTGTATTTGTGGGGATATTGTCTGTAGTTTTTTCATGATGCTCTCAGTCTGCCTTTGGTATCAGGATAATCCTGGCCTCTGGGGACGAACTTGGGCGTGGTCCCTCGTCCTCTCTTGCCCCATGTTCTCCAGCATCCTGGTTGTCACATGTATGTCTCTCTTTGCCTTTTCCTCCCACAGGAGATGGACCCTCCCCCTCCCTTCCCCAAGGAGATCCCACACAATGAGAAGCTCCTGTCCCTCAAGTACGAGGTGGGCCTCCTTCCAGCCCCCGTTCCCGAGACCCAGGCCCCTGCCCCTCAGACCTCCCCCACAAGTCTGCGCTCACGGCCAGAACGTGGGGGTCAGTGATGGTGTCCTGTTGCCCTGGTCTGCAGAGCCTGGACTACGACAACAGCGAGAACCAGCTGTTCCTGGAGGAGGAGAGGCGGATCAACCACACGGTGCGTCGGCTGCACAGCTGAGATGCTGTGTCCCATGGTCTTCAACCCCCGGCGTGGGCCTTGTGGCGTGGGCCGGCTCAGCCACCTGGGACTGCAGGGCTGGCCTGGTGCCACCGTCCTGCCCAGGGGTGGGGTGGGCGTCCCCAGCCCCCCGCTCTGTCTCTGAGCCACCATTCAGCCTCTGATTTGTGTCCCTGGGGCTGGAGCGAGTGCGGCCCAACCCCGAGTACACAGCTGTCAGGCGAGTGCATCAGGGTCTCTGGAACTTAGCAGGCTGTTCCAACAGACCCCAGAGGCACTGCCCAAGTGTCGACAGCCGACTGGGAATTTGTTGGGAAGGTTACATGTACCCCCCATGTCACCCGTGCGGGCCTGAGGTGCCCTGTGGTCGCCAGACGTCGGCCAGAGGCCGCCCTTTGTGGGACTCTGGGGTCCCGAGGGCAGCGGGCTGTGCGTGGTGGCGTCCTTCAGAATTCCAGGGGCTGCAGGTGGCCAGGGGCCAGTTGGGCCATCGCCGCAGTGGCCTTGGCCAGGCCGCCTGGCCACCACAGCTCTGCCCCTCCCGCACCCCGCAGGCCTTCCGGACGGTGGAGATCAAGCGCTGGGTCATCTGCGCCCTCATCGGGATCCTCACGGGCCTGGTGGCCTGCTTCATCGACATCGTGGTGGAGAACCTGGCCGGCCTGAAGTACAAGGTCATCAAGAACAGTATCCTTGTCCCTGTGCTCTCAGCACGGGTGCCGGCGGGAGGCCCAGCCTGGCACGTGCACAGCCCAGTCAGGAGGTCTGGTTGGGTTGGCTGCATCACAGCGGGGCTGTGAGGTGTCTCTGGGTGTCCAGTCAGCGCCATGGCCCTCCTGGGCCGCCAAGTGAACCCCTGTTGGGCACCTGGCAACCCCTGGGCCGGACCTCGAGCTGCTCTGGTTGGGAGGTTGGGCATCGGGGTGGGGCGGGAGGGGTGCGGGGTCCTGCTGGTGAAGCGGGGACCGTCCTTGACTCGCCCAGATATCGACAAGTTCACCGAGAAGGGCGGGCTGTCCTTCTCCCTCCTGCTCTGGGCCACGTTGAACTCTGCCTTCGTGCTTGTGGGCTCCGTGATCGTGGCGTTCATAGAGGTACGGTGGCACGAGGCACCCTGGGGCGTCACACCCAGGGTGGGCTCAGAGGGTCTCAGTGAACGGATGGGAACCCCTCAGCCCACCCACCCACCCACCCGCCCTGCCTGCCGGTCTCTGGTAGAGCAACTCGGTACAAACGTGAAACCGCTAAGGAAAAACAGGAAACGCAGCAGGGCCGCTTCACTCCAGTCTGCTGGCCCAGAGCACAGTCCCACAGCCCCCCACAACCCCCTTACAGCCCCCCATGGCTCCCAGGCCCACACACATCCAGTGCTCACACGCAGCAGGATCTGTGGGGTGCCGGGGTGCTCCATGATGTGCAGTCTTAGGAGCGGGGATGACCCAGCCCCCAGTGGAAACCCTCTCCCGAGGGGCTCAGACCCTCCTGGGGTGCCCCTCCATCCCGGGGCTTCTCCCAGAAGTCTCCCCTTGGCCTCCCCTCCTTTTCATGGTGGAAGAAGGGGCAATATCCAGAACCATTTTTCTGGGGTGCAGAGCAGTGGCCCCCACACACAGGGAGCCCTGGTCCTTCTTGCTTGGTGTGTGATAGGTGCCTGCCCACCCTGGAGTGTCCACACCCTCCCCTTGGACCTTTGGGGACATGTGAGTCTCCTCCCGTCTCTACCCTGGGCCCCCCAGGACTCTGGCCCCCCACATCCCACAGAGTTTACTCCCTCTAAGGTGCTCCGTGTCTGGGCTGGGACAGTGAGAACAATTGTCCCCAGTCATGGGCCCCTCGAGTTCGGGAGGCTCCCGTGGCCTGGCCGGCTCAGTGGCGCCTTCCCCCTTTCAGCCGGTCGCAGCTGGCAGTGGGATCCCGCAGATCAAGTGCTTCCTCAATGGGGTGAAGGTCCCCCACGTGGTGCGACTCAAGGTGAGGTGCGAGGGTGACCCTGGCCGGGCGAGAGGCGGGTGTCTGCTGGCCCCGAGCAGCTCCTTTGTCCCTTACGCCCTCCGAGCACCCCAGGCTGCCTTGCGGGTGGGGACGGGGAGTGGATGGGTGGACAGTTTGTGTAAGGGTGACCTTTTGTTGAAAACGGTGGAACTTCTTGTTATACGTATTAAACTGTGCAAAAATGTTAAAGTGATGCATAGGCTGTGGTGACAGCCATGCAAAATTGTAACTAAGGACTAATATTTGAAAACAGAAATAGTTACATTAGAGTGGTAGACTTGTGATTTTTCTCCCATTTTCGAAATGTTTCCCAACACTCGTTCTGCATAGCATCATGGGTGACATCTGGATGCTGCAGGGCCCGCGTCTGTCGGCTCTGCCAGTGTCCCTCGCCCTGAGCCTGGCCGGGCCCTGTCCCTGTCTGCAGAGGGGCCGACGTGGTCGCGTGGTGGGGAGCTCTGGCTGCGGCAGCAGAGCCGGTTCACCCGGTGCTGACGTGGGGCCCGCCGCAGGCTGGCGGGGCCACTAAAGTGTCCCCGTGCACGCCCTTCGTGAGCCGGCTGATGGCCGGAGCTCTCCTCCCCGGGGTGGCCCCAGCGGGGGAAGCGTTCATAAATCTGGAGGGCTCCCATGAAGTCAGCCTCCGCTTACCCTCGCGTGCGACAGGCTCTGGCAGGGGCCAGCGGTGTCCCCTGCCTCCCTTCACGGCTCCGGGCCTCTGGGGACATGTGGCGAGAACAAAGGGGCAGACAGGGAGCACCCCGAGGTGGGTCCCGAAGCCTCTAAGGGACAGTGTTTCCTGGGCTGGCGGGCCACCTCCGTGTCCCCCCGGTGCTGGGCCCAAGTGGCCGATGCCATCTCCAGGGTGGTCTCGGCTCAGCGCTGCTTCAGAGAGAGGAAAGGCCCCCACCTGCTGAGCATCCCCGGGAGCGTGTGCGCAGGAGGGAGGCTGGGCTGGCGTTCGTTGTGTGGCCGTGGGAGGGTCAGCCTGCGGGGCGCCGAGATGCCCGTGTCTCTGGGGTGCTCTGTGTCATCATTCCCTGTGCCTGCAGCTTCGTTGGTTGGGTCCCTTTAATTTAATCAGAGACTCGCCGTGTTTGCCTGCATTGCAGACGCTGGTGATCAAAGTGTCTGGCGTGATTCTGTCCGTGGTCGGAGGACTGGCCGTGGGAAAGGTAACAGTGCCTGTGACACCGTCCCAGCCCACGTCTGCGTCCCTGGCCCTGCGAGGGACGCCGGGGCCTGTGTGTCGTCTGAGTGTGGGCTGTGCTCTGTCTCCAAGGAAGGGCCGATGATCCACTCGGGCTCCGTGATCGCCGCCGGGATTTCCCAGGGGCGGTCCACGTCGCTGAAGCGGGATTTCAAGGTGAGCCTCTCCCCCTCCTGCGCACGTGGACTGCGGATGCCGTGGTCGTGCGAGCCCTGTCCCTGTCCCTGTCCCCCTCCGAGAGACAGCCCGCTGTTCCTGGACAGGGTGGGCGAGGTCCCTTTGCCTCTGCCTCATGTGGCCCCTCCGTGGCCGGCCCCACGGAGTCCCCCACGGTCGTGGTGCGCCCGGCCAGGGTCACCCTCGCACCTCACCTTGAGTCCACTGCGTCTACTGTGGAGGGGCTCCGGCTCTGAGCAACTTCTCAAGGAACATATGACCTGAAAGGTCAGAGACCGTGTATTTCACGTTAGAGATGTGTGTTTTTTAAGATACGCTTTGGAACAATTTTGTCAAGTTTTCAAAAAAAGCCACTAGCATTTTGATAAGGATCACACTGAATTAACATGAATTTAGACAGTTAACACTTCCCAGTATGGAGGTTTTTTTTTTTTTTTTAGTTTATTTTTTTTCCCGCTTAAATTCACTGGAAGTATAGTCTTTTTTAAAAATCAAGAGCAAGTTTACGGTGGCTCACGCCTGTAATCCTACCACTCTGGGAGGCCGAGGCAGGCGATCGCTCGAGGTCAGGAGTTTGAAACCAGCCTGAGCAAGAGCGAGACCCCGTCTTTACTATAAATAGAAATTAATTGGCCAACTAATATATAGAGAAAAAATTAGCCGGGCATGGTGGCGCATGCCTGTAGTCCCAGCTACTCAGGAGGCTGAGGCAGCAGGATTGCTTGAGCCCAGGAGTCTGAGGTTGCTGTGAGCTAGGCTGATGCCACGGCACTCACTCTAGCCTGGGCAACAAAGCGAAACTCTGTCTCAAAAAAAAAAAAAAGAGCAAGTTTAGGTTTTTCATGCATTGTTTCTTTGGGCCTCAGTGGAGTTTGGGGTATTTCAGCGTCTCTCTTAGGCGTGTTGTAAACCTCCATTCCTGTTGCGGGCCTGTCTGTCATGTCCCCCACTGTAGGCAGCAGGGCAGCCCGCGGCCTGTGTTCTGTCGCTAGCACTGCGCCCAGCCCAGGCCATAATCTCTGGGGAAGCCCCGCCCTCCCCACCCTGTCCCCACGCCCTGGCTGAACTGCCCTTCGGAGGCTCTGCCCACAGCTCTGCTCCTGTTTCAGATCTTCGAGTACTTCCGCAGAGACACGGAGAAGCGGGACTTTGTCTCTGCAGGCGCTGCTGCGGGGGTGTCGGCTGCGTTCGGAGCCCCAGTGGGTGAGGAAGGGCTGCCCCACCCGGTCTGCGGCTTCTCCCGCTGGGTTGGGGATCCAGGCTTTCCTGCGTGTTGGGAGGCATAGCCTTGGTGTTTCCAGAATGGGTGCCCAGTGGGGGTGGGCGGGGCCTGGGGTCCCGGGGCATTTGGAAGGGGTGGGCGGGGCCTGGCCCTTGACCTCCCGGGAGGCCCCTCTTCCCGCCACTCCCCTTCCCACCCTGGAGATTCCTCCTGAGGTGGCTTCAGTTCCCTGGGGATGGGGGCGGGTGGGTGCTGGTGCCCTGTGTCTGCTGGCACCTGAGGTGCCGCCACCTGCCTCTCAGGTGGGGTCCTGTTCAGCCTGGAGGAAGGCGCCTCCTTCTGGAACCAGTTCCTGACGTGGAGGATCGTAAGTGCCTGGCTGGGGCGGCACGTTGCCCTCTGCCACGCTGTGCCGTCCTCACCCAAGGGCCCTGTGGGCCGACAGGCTGCGTCCCTGCCCGAAGCGGTGATGTGCTCGCCGCCCAGCCCCCGCAGTCCTGGGCGTCTTGGCCACCCGGATGGGTCCTGGCTGTAGGGACCCCAGACCCTGCCCGCTGCCCTCCTGCCCTCCAGCCCTCCACTGGCCCATCTGCACACTCCCGGCCCCCAGCTCCAGCTGTGGGCTCGGAGCGCAGCTGTGACGTGCCGGCATCTTCCCGGCAGTTCTTCGCTTCCATGATCTCCACCTTCACCCTGAACTTCGTGCTGAGCATTTACCACGGGAACATGTGGGACCTGTCCAGCCCTGGCCTCATCAACTTCGGCAGGTTTGACTCGGAGGTAACCGGCCGAGTCCCCCGCCCCCTCCGCTGCTGCCGGGGCCCTGCTGCTCCTTGAGGCCCCTATCTGAGAGCTTGGTCTTTGGGAAAACTCTAGCTTCCGCTGTGGAACTGTAAGCTCCACACGCCCTGAGGCGCTCTGGGAAGCCGTGTGTGGAGCCGCCTGCAGTCGGACGTCCCGTGAGGCTGCAGGGCTGGGTGCCACCGCACGGGCCATGGCGCAGGGCGTCCTGGGTGCGTGCGCAGGAGCTCGTGGGGTGGGTGGGCTCGGGCCGTCCTTTCTGCAGAGTCCAGGACAGAGTCCTGCAGGACGGTTGGAAACCTGGGAATGAGATCTGTGTTCCTCGTGCTCCAGAACGTTCCCCTCCCCCGGGTGCCTGGAGCCTGGGTGGGAAGCGTTGCCGCCTCGCACGGCCTCTGGGAGCCTCCCGCCAGCCAGGCGGCGCAGGGGCCGGGCCCACTCACGGTGCCTGGAGTCCCTCCCTCCCACTGGACCTCCACTGCCCCGTGTGGAAGTGCCGGGAGGTTCCGTGGGTGTGGGCATACATCGTGATGTCCAACCCTTGGACCTGCGTGGGGAGGAGGAGCGTTCACATCCACAGCAGCCTCAGCTTCCTCCTCTCTCTGCGCAGAAAATGGCGTACACAATCCACGAGATCCCTGTGTTCATCGCCATGGGCGTGGTGGGTAAGGGCGCTCGGCCTCAGGACGGTGGAGACGCAGCTCGCCCAGGACCACTCCTTCTGGGTTCTTCCGTGGGCAGCTCACCTGGCAGGGAACCAGGGTTGGGGCGGAGAAGGGACCGTTTCCCTCCGAGAGGTAGAACAGGCCTCCCAGGAGCTACTGCTTGCAAAAATCGCGCTCCCTGGGAGGAGGGTGAGCCTTCGAGGAATGAGCCCGCCCTCCCGCTGGGCGTGGCATGACAGAGTGTTGGAACAGGACCCCCGTCCCCTCTCTGCCTCCTGGGGGGCCACACGGTGGGGCCCTGCCTGCCCTGCCATGGGACTAACTCGCTTTCTCTTGGGTGTAGGTGGCGTCCTTGGGGCCGTATTCAACGCCCTGAATTACTGGCTGACGATGTTCCGGATCAGGTGAGGGGGAGACCTGGCTCTGTGCTGTGCTGGCCGTGTGGCCACACAGGCCTCCTCAAGCAGACGTGGGGCTGCAGGCTTCACACCCTGGCCCGAGCCGGCAGGCCACACGTGTGCACGCCCTTCCCTGGTGGCTTGTACCCGACTGGCCTGCTCAGAGCAGAGTGTCCAGAGCCGGGGGAGGGGCCGGACAAGCCCGAGGCTGGAGCCAGCAGGAGGGCCCAGGACGACAGGGGCAGGGAGCAAGGCCCCGAGTGGGTCCAGGACCAGCCTTCACCTGGGGCTGCCCGTGGCACCCTGCGCCCTTTTGTGTCAGGAAAGCAGCAGTTGTTCTGGAACCTTCGGGGAGCCTGGGCTTGTGGGAGCTCTTCCCCTATCTTGTTCCTGCGCTGGTTCCCACTGCTGTTGGGCGCAGCTGGGTGTGGGGGGGCTGTGTCCCAGCATCTGGGAGGAGTTGCTGCTGGGACAGCCTCGTTACTACGAGGAAGAAGGTAGCCCAGGTAGGGGGTGCCTCGGCAGTTGACACTGTGAGCGCACTGTGTCACTCTCCTGATCGGCGTCCTCCCGCTGGGCGTCTGCCCCGTTGCAGACTCAGGCCACCCTGGCACCTGCCATGGTGCTGCCCAGCCGTCCCCACACATGGTCTCTCCTGACTCTCGGCTACAGGTACATCCACCGGCCCTGCCTCCAGGTGATCGAGGCCATGCTGGTGGCAGCCGTCACGGCCACCGTGGCCTTCGTGCTGATCTACTCCTCCCGGGACTGCCAGCCCCTGCAAGGGAACTCCATGTCCTACCCCCTCCAGGTAGGAGGCCTGGGGGCCCGGGGCAGGTGGGTGCAGCAGGAGGTGCAGCTGTGCAAGGGCCCCAGCAGTCCTCACCCCCATCCTTCTCACGGCAGCGGCGTGGTGGCGCAGCCGAGTTCTGGAAGTGAGCGGGCTGGAAGTTAGCGCCGTCCATGCAGGTCCCAGAGCAGGCCGGGCCGTGTGCTGGGGTCGGGCGGTGGCGGCAGGGCCACAGTCTCGCCCGGGTCCTCTTCTCGGAGCGGTGACCTGACTAGAGCTTCAGAAGTGGGGGGGTGGAGCGTAGGTGCGCATCTGGCACCCGGCAGAAATGCAAACCTGCATGTGGCAGTTCATGGCAGCCCAGAGCGGGCACTGTCCTTGCTGACTGTCCTGCCGGGTAGAGGAAGGGAGCTCTGGCACGTGCCACAGCACGGTCGGGCCTGAACACACGGTGCTTGGTGAGAGAAGCCCACACGCTGGGCCACGCCGTGCATGACACCCTTGACCCGGGACGTGAGAGTTGGGACGTGCTCGGGTTGCTGGGCTGGCGGAGCTGGGCGAGTGGACGGACAGGTGTGGACGAGGTGTCCGGTGCGGGGCCGAGCCCGGCCAGTCAGAGGCCCAGCTTTGCTCTGACCCTGCTCTCTGGGGGCCTCAGCCCCGGCTCCCTAGGGGCACGCTCACGGTGCACTCCTGGGCCTGTGTCCCCATGGACCTAGATGCTGGCTGGGCATGGAGCACGCTGTCTGGGCCACAGCGATGCCAGGTCTGTGTCTGCAGCCTGCCGCCCACCCCCTGCCCGACCTGTCCCTCTTCCCACCTTGCAGCTCTTCTGCGCAGACGGCGAGTACAACTCCATGGCCGCCGCCTTCTTCAACACTCCGGAGAAGAGCGTGGTCAGCCTTTTCCACGACCCACCAGGTGCGCTGGTCAGCGCTGTCGGCCCGGGGTGTGGGTGACGCCTTCTGGCTGAGGGTGCCCTGTGGGCAGGGGCTGTCCCCAGTGTGGGGTGGGGTGGGCGCTGGCCCGTGGGTTCCTGGGGGTGGGGCCTGGTCGGGCTCCACCTCCTGCCCAGGTGAGTTTTCCCTGTGGGTGCCGCATGCGCAGGTCACTGTGGGGCCGAGAACCCGGCCACATGTTCCTCGTGCACGTGCTGACGCTGCTCACAGCAGGTGCTGTCTCCGCCTGCCGTCCTGAACCCGGTGCTGGCGGCACTCCAGGCCCGCAGTGGAGCCGGCGCAAACTTGGGCCCTTCTCCCAAGCTCCTCTTCTTCCCCTTAGTGTGCGTGTTAGGTTTTCTGACTCTTGGGGCTGTTTCTAGTTGTTTCCTGTTACAAAGCCGCTGGGAATGCCAGTTTTCTGGTCTGTGTGTGTTTGAGCAGTTGGTTCATGAAGTTGCATAGAAACTCCCTTAAATCTGGATGAGGCCCCCAGACCCCCTATGAGGTGACTCTGGCCCTCTGCGCGGGGCTCCTGGTTCCCACATCTGGTCGACGTGTCCCCCACGTTGAGCGGTTGCCTGGCGTGGAGGAGTGGCAGCTGACGGCTTTCCGCACACAGCCCCTCCCCCTGGCCTTGAGGTCACCATGCTGCTGGCTGCACCGACGGCCTTGGCTCCCTGTGCCCTGCCTGCCCAAACCTGCCAGAGGACGCGGCCTCCACACTGGACACTGAGGCCCTCGGCACCCCGCCCAGGCCACCCTGCCCAGGAAGAGCCTCCGGCACTGGGGCTGAACTGGCTGGAGCTGCAGCAGCTGGAGTGGAGTGGCAGCGCGGCCCCGGCCAGCCCTCCTCCCTTCCCAGATGTGGCGCCTCCTGGGCTCCAGCAGGACGCTTCTCAGCCACCCACCTCCCCGACCATCCCAGGGGTGGGGGCATTTTCCCTGGACCACTGGCTGGGGTGGGCCATAGGGACGGTGCAAAGGAGAGTTCTGTCTTTTTTCTAGTTTGTTGGCTGGTCAAGGTACGGTTAGGCCCGTGGAGCAGAGCTAGAGCCAGGTTTTGCCCGCAGGGGTGGGCGCTGCCCCTATGTTAGAAAGGGACCTCCCAGCTGGGCAGGCACCCTTGCCCTGGGCCAGGCTATACCCTGGGGCAGCCCCCATGGGCTCTGCACCTGGTGCTGCTGTGGGGTGGGGCCTGGCCTGCCCACCTGGGCCTGGGTCCTGCCGGGGCCATCCTGTCGGGGCCTGTGCAGCCCCCTCGCTCACCACTCCCCCAGCTGAGCCTCACGGCCCCCTATCCTGGGGAGATGGCTCGGACAGGTCCTATGGCTCCCAGGGTGTGACCACGAGGTGTGGGTTGCCTGGGAAGCCATGTCAGCCCCTCCTGTCCCATAGGCTCCTACAACCCTCTGACCCTCGGCCTGTTCACCCTGGTCTACTTCTTCCTGGCCTGCTGGACCTATGGGCTCACCGTGTCCGCAGGGGTCTTCATCCCGTCCCTGCTCATTGGGGCCGCCTGGGGCCGGCTCTTTGGCATCTCCTTGTCCTACCTCACAGGGGCAGCGGTGAGTGGGGGCGGGGGTCCGGCCTGGGGCACCAGGGTGAGTGTGGGGCTGTCGGTGGTGGCAGCGAGGGCTGCTTGCATCTTGTGTCTTCATCTTTTTCCTCCAGTCGTTCAATAAGATTGAAGACTATGGATGGGGCCGCAGCGAGAGTCTCTGTGCCCCCCCTGCTCCCAGGCCCCCACCCTGCCCGTGTTCTGTGTTTACATGGGGATAAAATTCATAGACCATCACACTCACCAGTTTAAGAGAAACGGCGCGGTGGTGTTTGTCACATTTGCAACGTTGTGTAACCATCGCCACCTAGTTCTAGAACATTCCATCATCCCAAAGGGAAGCCCCATGCCCATTACCACTCACCCGCCATTTTCCCCAACCCCAGCCCTGCAGCCTCCAGCCTCCATCCCGTGTCTGTGACGTCACACGTGTGGCCTTTGGTGTGGGTTCCAGGCCTGCCTGTGTCGCACGTTCGGTCCTTTGTGTGCTGAGCGTCCCGGGTGGCACAGCCGTGGTCTAGGCGCCGTCCTCTCCCTCGAGACTCGCGTGCAGGGCGCAGCTCACTGGGCAGGTTACACCGGGCCGGGGCACATGTGAGCCAGCCACGGGACCGGCCTTTGCGTGTGTCCGGCCGTCCCAGGCGTGGCCTCTGCAGTGTGTCGTGGTGGTCTGGCCTGGTGGCTGCCGGCCACTCAACACCCCCTCTGTGTCCCCCGTGCAGATCTGGGCGGACCCCGGCAAGTACGCCCTGATGGGAGCCGCCGCCCAGCTCGGTGAGTCCCGCTGCTCCTGGGCACCTGCGCCGAGCAGAGCGCGGCTGCCGCGCAGGGTCTCCCCGTCCTTCGTGTGAACAACGCGGAAAGTGGGGTCGTCCCCCCACAGGGCTGAGGGGCAGCAGCCCAGGCTGGGCGGTGCCATCCTTGCAGGGCAGGGTGCAGAGGGACAGCGGGGCAGGCCTGGGGCCCTGAGCCGGCCGTGGCCGCCCTGCAGGTGGGATCGTGCGGATGACCCTGAGCCTCACGGTCATCATGATGGAGGCCACCAGCAACGTGACCTACGGCTTCCCCATCATGCTGGTGCTCATGACTGCCAAGATCGTGGGCGACGTCTTCATCGAGGTGTGCAGGGCCCGGCCCTTCCCCACGTCCCCTTGCCACACGGCCCTCAAGACCCCCCAGCCCCTGGCGCCCCTGTCCCCTCCGCCCCCCGGCCTCCGAGCTGGGCTCCCTGGGGCTGGGAGGGACACCGTGCGCCTCCCCGCAGGGCCTATACGACATGCACATCCAGCTGCAGAGCGTGCCCTTCCTGCACTGGGAGGCCCCGGTCACCTCACACTCGCTCACTGCCAGGTAGGCCTGCTGTCTCCGCTCGCCTCCCCCACCAGGAGCCCCCGTGGGTGAAGCGTGTGGCGGGTTATGTTGCGGGCGCTTGGGGGATCCTGGGTGGGAAATGTGGCCCAGGGGTGAGCCTGCTGCTCCGGGCCCCACCTCCGGGTTTCCCCACCAGCCCATGGCGGGCGCGCCGGGGTGTTGGTGGCTGTGAGGTGGCATCTCCCCGCGGGGCTGCTCCGCAGGGAGGTGATGAGCACCCCAGTGACCTGCCTGAGGAGGAAGGAGAAGGTGGGCGTCATCGTGGACGTGCTCAGCGACACGACGTCTAACCACAACGGGTTCCCCGTGGTGGAGCATGCAGATGACTCCCAGGTACCGAGGCCGCCTCCCGCAGACGGGCCGATTGTGGTCTGGCATCTGCCAGGCGAGGCACCGTGTGGTCCCCCGGACAGAGGTGCCGTGCCGTTGGGTGTTGAGTGAGACCCTGTCAGCCGCCTGGATGTCGGTGGCCGTGGCCTTCGCCAGGAGGCCCTGGCGGGATGTGCAGCCCTCGCCCGGGCCCGTCGTAAGGGCTGAGTTGACCTGGGTGCTGGGGGGTTTGGGGCAGGCAGGGCTGCGCCTCCCTCCAGGGCGAAGCTGCTGCTGCCTGCTCTGTGGGGTCAGGCCGCGCTGCTCGCCTCTGGTCCCTGGGGGTCAAGGAGGTGTCACAGTGGAGCGCGAGGCCAGGCCGGCGCTCCCAGGTGGCTGTTGAACAGCGACCCTGCCCAGGCGGTGTCTGGCCAGAGCAGGTCGGAGCCGCAGTCCTGGCTTCCGCGGGTCCCTGCAGGCGTCTCGGCCTGACCTTGGGCCCCCTTGCAGCCCGCCCGGCTCCAGGGCCTGATCCTGCGCTCCCAGCTCATCGTCCTGCTGAAACACAAGGTAGGCCGGCCGGAAGCCCCTCCCCAGCCTGCACGCAGGGGCCTGTGGGCCCCGCACGGCGTCTGACTGGCCGCCGCCCGCAGGTGTTCGTGGAGCGCTCCAACATGGGCCTTGTGCAGCGGCGGCTGCGGCTGAAGGACTTCCGCGACGCCTACCCGCGCTTCCCGCCCATCCAGTCCATCCACGTGTCCCAGGACGAGCGCGAGTGCACCATGGACCTCTCCGAGTTCATGAACCCCTCCCCCTACACGGTGCCCCAGGTACCTACAGGCGCAGGCTGGGGGTGGTGGATCCCTTCTGGTCCTCCCGGGGCAGCCTCGGGTGGCAGGGGGCGGGCTGTGGCTGTCTGGGGCGAGGCCCTGTGACCAGAACGTGCACTGGGGGGCGGGGCTTGGGCAGGTGGAGCCAGGAGGAGGCCGCTGTCCCAGCAGGACTGGGGTTTGTCCCCAGGAAGGCGAGGCGCTGACAGACCTTAGGGGAAGGCGGGGGGAGGGGCAGCCCCAGACGCACCTTGGTGTGCTGCTGGCGTGCGGCTGTGCGGGTGGGGTGTGGGCGCACTGAAGGCTGTGCCTCCCCGCAGGAGGCGTCTCTCCCTCGGGTGTTCAAGCTGTTCCGGGCGCTGGGCCTGCGGCACCTGGTGGTGGTGGACAACCGCAATCAGGTGAGCGGCGGGTGGGTGCCTTGGGGTGGCCGGGGGTCTGCATCCTGCTGAGGAAGTCCTGGAGCTGGGGTGCCCTCGTCCCAGGTGAGCACTTGCTCTCAGCTCCCTGTAAAGGGTGCTAAGACCCCTGGCCCCACACCCCAACCCTGTGCCAGGGCCCCTGGGCTCCCTGCTGTGCTGCCCCCCCAGCCCCCGGGGCCCTGACCTGGCTTTGCTCCGCAGGTGGTCGGGCTGGTGACCAGGAAGGACCTCGCCAGGTATCGCCTGGGAAAGGGCGGCTTGGAGGAGCTCTCGCTGGCCCAGACGTGAGGCCCGGCCCCGCCCTCAGCGGGCAGTGGCTCCCCTGGCCCCTTTAGCCCCTCCTGGGGTGTCTGATCTCTCTGCCACAGCCTCACCTCCCGAGCAGTGGCAGGAGCGAGCGTCCCCCAGACTTGGGGCCAGGCTGGCTGGCATGTGAACGTAGCCTTGGTTGAGGGTGGCTGGTCATGGTCTCACTGTGTCCCCTGTGCCGTGGCCCTGGACTTGGCTCCCTCCCTCTGGGGTCTTAACTTCAGGATCAAGTGCGTGTGCGACACCCCCTGGGCTTCAGTGACAGCCCCGGCCGCAGTTTGAGAGTTTGCCAAGAGTTTGAGTGGCAGGTGGCCCTGGAGAGCAGCCTTGGGTGGGCTCCCCGGGGAGCCACACATGCACCCTGGTCTGTGCCCCGGCTCAGTGACTATGGGTCTGGGGTCCTCAGAGCTGAGAAGGAACTCTGAGGGCCTCAACCCCCAAATCCAGCCATGCCTCTGTCACCCTGAGCCCTCAGAGCTGGGGTCCCCACACCCGTGGCCACCGGCTGGCAAAGCGGGTCTGCCAGCGACACAGTGCAGGTGGCTCACGCGGGCTGTGATGAGCCGTGCGGGCCCCTCGGAGCCACCTCCTAGCCGCCAGGGCGGGGCTTGGTGTCCCTCGGTCCCCAGGGCTCCTCGCACAGGACGTTGCACAGAGGGGTTTGTGTCCCTGCCGGGTGTCTGTTGAGGCAGCACCAGACCGAGTTGTCCGACCAGCCAGCGCCACTTTCTCGTTCCCGCCCGCCTGGACCACGGCCCCGCAGCCCGGGACTTTCAGGGGCCCTGGGGATCGGGGTTGCAAGTGTGGTGGGGACCAGGCCATCCTGTAAACGGCTTCCCCCGATGGCCATGGACCCCAGGAGCACTGACCACCACGTCCTATCCTCATCCCTTCCCTGGGGCTGAAGAGCCTGGTGTCCACCTTTCTGTGCCCATGCCTGGGCACTGTCCCAGGGACCCCGAGTTGGCCCCAGCAGGTCCGGAGCATCTGAACTGGCGGAAGGAGATGCCCCAGCAGGCCTCAGACGCAGAACCAAAAACGCATGTGCAATGTCCCTCAACAACTGTTTTATACAGATTTCATGTTGAAATAATATTTTGGATATATTAGGTTAAATAAAGTGACCTATTGAAGTTTGCCTCGCCTGTCACTTTGCTTTTTGACGTGGTTGCAGGGAAGGCTGGCGTCACCGAGGCTGCCCCCGCCATGGGCTGCGCTCTGGGCCGGGGCCTCTGCTCCCTGCGTGTGTGCAGGGCTGGGCTGTCCTGGGCTCGGCCTGCTGCTCCGGCCACTCTGCTGGCGTCCCTCCCCGCGGGCTCAGGCCATGGCCAGCCCCCACCGCTGGCAGACGCTCCCCTGTGCCCCCTCGGATCCTTCCAGAACCAGGCAGTTGGAGAGGCCTCGCAGGAACTGGAGGGTTGGGGGCTCAGGTTCCACTGGCAGTTGGGCCATGAAGTCATGAGGTTCTGGTGAGGAAAGGAAGGTTCCAGAATAGTCCCAGTTGCCCAGCCTCACCTGCCTCCCCAGGACCCTCTGGGAAGGAGGCAGATGTGAGGGCAGGAGCTCACCCTGCTGCGCCCCACTGCCCTCTCTCTGCTCCCAGCCCGACCCCGCCTCCCTCCAGCCAGCCCCTCCCCGTCCTGCCTGCCCTGGGCTCTGGCGACCACCGCTGCTGAAGCCATGTCAGGTGAGCTGCTGCCGGGCCCTGCTGGAGAAATGAGGTCTAGGAAGGGCCTGGCCACCCCTGGGCCCTAAGGGACAGCTCTGCTTCCTGGCCGCTAGGGGCTTCCTCTGGAGCTGGCCAGGTGGGGGCACTGTCCTGTCTCTGCCACCCAGTGCTGGGCATCCTCAGGCAGGGCCCTGGCCTTCTCTGAGCCTAGCCTGTGTCTGGACCCAGCTGTGAGAGTCAGGGTGGTGTCCTGCAACGATTTGGGTCCTTGTCACCTACCATGCGCCCCAGCAGGAGCCAGCACCCCCCAAGGGTGAGCTCCCAAGGAACTTCTTGCAGAGCCAGTGAACAGCAGCCCCTCCCTGGGGACATCGGCCCCCTCCCGGCTGAGCACCATCGTCTCAGAGGACCTGGGGCTCCTGATGGGAAGCCTGGCCAGCCCCGAGGCCTTGAGTCTGGAGTTGTCAGACAGGGACTCGTCCAGCCACCTGGCGTCCTCCCCCTCTGACCCCGAGCTGGACACGGCCAAGCACTGGACACAGCTGGAGCAGTGGTGAGCCTGCAGGCTCGGGGCGGGAGGACCCACCTCGAGGGCACAGCCTGACCGGGCCCTGCCCCTGCCCCGGCCAGGGTGTCCTCGCTGCAGGCAGAGGTGGCCTGCCTGCGGGGGCAGGAGGAGCGCCGGGAGCGCGCCACTCGGAGCCTGCTGCGGGAGCTGCTGCGCGTGCGGGCCCTCGTGCAGGTGCAGGACTCGGAGCTGCAGCGGCTGCAGCAGGAGGCGGCGCCTGCCGCTCCCACCCCTGAGAAGGTTACCCCTGCCGAGGTTAGCAGCACCCCCGCAGCTCAGCTCGAGCCCGCACTTCCTGGGGGCTGGGGGCAGCTGCTCCGTCTCCCCTAGCCCAGCCCAGCCCTGCGCCTGCTGCCCAGGCCCTGAGCCCAGGTCCCCTAGCGGGAACCCCCTGTGCCCGGGCTCTCTCGGGCCACGTGTCTGAGCTGGGAGGACTCAGGGCAGGTGGCAGCCCCGGGCCTGCACCAGTCCACACCCTCCTCCTCCTCCTCCTCCTCGCAGCCCCACGGCCTGCAGAGCCAGAACCAGATGCAGGCCCTGGACCAAAGGTACCTCTGTGTATGCTTGCGCCCACAGCCTTGGCGGGAGGGGAGGGGATGAGGCGTCCAGGAAGCCGTGGCCGGCGCTGGAGCCCCCTCCCCGGTGGGTTGTCTTGCTCAGTGAGCAATGTGTGTGTGGGCCCCGCAGAGAGGCTGGCTCTGACGCTGCCTGGACAGCCTACGGTGGTGGTGGGGGACAAGTGGGAGGCCGGCTGCAGGGCCTGCCCCGCCCCCGCTGGACCCCCAGCCCCCAGACACTGCCCCGCGAGCTCTGGGCCTGTCGGATGTGGCCCTTGTGTGCCAGGCTGGTGGAGGTGCGGGAAGCGTTGGCTCAGATCAGGAGGCGGCAGACACTGCAGGACTCGGAGCGGAAGGCCACTGAGCAGGAGGTGGCCCTCAGGTGGGCGCTGGGGACGGCTCCGGGCCGCCATCTGACCTCCTGCCCTCGCTGAGCTGCTGACTGCCGGGACCCCCGTGGGGAAGGAGACCCCAGCCTGGCCCTGCCCCTTCCCGTCCTCGAGCCTGGCCCTGCTCTGAGGTCCGCTTCCAGCCCCTCTGCATGTGCCCGAGGGGCCGTGTGCTGCCCACTTGGCCAGCCGGGAGGTCCAGTGGCCCCACCAGCCTCCCGGTGGCTCCCCAGCCAGGCCCTGTGACCAGCAGCCGATGTCCCCAGGCTGGCCAAGCTGACCGACTCACTGAGGCAGGAGGAGCAGGGCCGGGAGGCGGCCTGCAGTGCCCTGCGGACGAGCCAGGAGGATGCCGGCCAGTGGGTGGGCCACGAGGTGGCCAGGATGCAGGTGCGCCCGGGAGGCAGGGCCCTGAGGAGTCCCCAACTGGCACAGCCTGTGCCCTCCCACCCGCCTGTGCTGTTTTTGTTTCTGTCCACGTGGTCGGCCCTGGGAGGACCCCAAGTCCTGTGCTGTCCAGCACAGCAGCTGCTCTGCCCACTGAAATTAGAGACAATTCAGATAATTCAAAACAGCTCCTCAGTCACACACCCCGCGTGCCACGTGCTCAGTAGCCACGTGTGGCCGGCGGCTGCGACGTGGGCATCCTTCGTTGCAGAAGCTTGTTGGATAGCACGGCCCCATGCACACTGCCCCCCCATACAACCAGCTCCCAGCTTGAGAACTAGAACCCCTCAGCCCTGAAGCTCCTCCATGGCCATTCTCAGTGGAGGTCGCCTTCCTGGCGCGCCAGTCCCTGGTACCCGGGGTCCTGCTTCGAGGGCCTGGCGCTGCTTCCCCTCGCTGTGGCCGTAGGAGGGGCCTCAGCTCTGGGGTGGGGAGGGAACCAGGCAGCCGCACGGCTCTGGGGCCAGGTCTGGAGCTCTGCAGAGAGGCCAGGGGCTGCGGCCGGCTCCCAGGGCAGAGGGACGGGGAGGCTGAGAGCACACCCCAGCGGCAGCCCACGCAGCTCCGCAGCGGCAGCCGGGAGTCGGGCCCTCACTGACCCCGGGACTTTAGCACAGTGGCTCCGAGAAGGCGGGAGGGAGGTCCTGGGCTGAGGCTTCCCAGACAGGCGGTGAGGAGGGGAAGCCGCCCCCTCTGGCCCCCCCTGGCCCCCCCTCCCGTGGTGGTGCTGGCCCTTTCCCTTAGCACTGGGGAGCATCTGAGCACTCTCTAGGGCCAGGTAGGCAAGCCGAGGCCCACCGCCTGTTTTTGTGCACAAAGTTTTATCGGCACAGCCACGCACAGTGTTTTATATCTTGCCCGTGTCTACTTTGAGGGCTGTGACCGCAGCGTGGAGAGGCCACAGCAGAGACCCTGCAAGCCGGGAGTGTTCACTCTCTGGCTCTTTGCAGAGAGAGACCTGCTCCAGGGCACCTCCTGGGGGGCCAGCAGGGGCTCAGCAGACAGAGATTCCTCTGGGGGGTTTCTGCACCTTGAACTGCCCCCCTGCACCCCAGGCCCCCCACCCCAGCGCAGCAGGGAAGCAGCTTTCTGGGAGGAGACAGGGCCCCCCAAGGGCTCTGCCTGGCCCCCCTGGCTCCCCATGGCTCCCCCTGGCTCCCCTGACTCCCCATGGCTCCCCCTGGTTCCCCTTGGCTCCCCTGGCTCCCCTTGGCTCCTCCTGGCCCCCCTGGCTCCCCCTGCTCCCCCGGCCCCCGAGGGCTCTGCCTGGCTCCCCTGGCTCCCCCTGGCTCCCCCTGCTCCCGCCCCCCGGCCCCTGAGGGCTCTGCCTGGCTCCCTGGCTCCCCCTGGCTCTCCCTGGCTCCCCCTGCACCCCCTGGCCCCGGAGGGCTCTGCCTGGCTCCCCCTGGCTCCCCTGGCTCCCCCTGCCCCCCCCCCCGGCCCCCGAGGGCTCTGCCTGGCTCCCTGGTCCCCCCTGCCTCCCCTGGCCCCCCCTGGCCCAGCAGAGGCCGCCCAGGGACGGTGTGGACCCTCCCCAGGCCCAGGTGACGACGCTCGGCGAGGAGATGAGCCTGCGCTTCCTGAAGAGGGAGGCCAAGCTGTGCAGCTTCCTGCAGAAGAGCTTCCTGGCCCTGGAGAAGGTGGGCGCCCCTGCCCGGCCCGGCCCGCCCCCGCGCGGACGCGGACTCTCAGCGGACTCTCCCCGCAGAGGATGAAGGCGGCGGAGAGCTCGCGGCTGCGGCTGGAGGGCCGCCTGCGGGAGGAGCTGGAGCGCCGCTGGGAGTTGCTGCGGGAGCTGATGGAGGAGCGGCTGCGCACCCTGTGCGGGCAGCGCCAGGTGCGGCCGGCCGGCGGGCGGGCCGGGTGGGCGGGGGCGGAGCGCCAGGGGCGCGGCGGGCGCTGGGTGGGGCGGGCCGGGGTGGGCGGAGCGGGGCAGGCCAGTGTCGGCGGGCGGGGTGCCGAGGGTGGGCGTGCGGGGTGGGGCGGGGGCGGGGGCACCAGGTGCGGCCCGGCGGCGGGGCGGCGAGAGAGGGCGGGGGGGGGGGGGGGGGGGTGGGCGGGGCTGGAGCGGAGCGGGGGCGGGGCGGGAGCGGGACGGCACCAAGTGCGGCTGGCGGGCTGGCGGGCGGGGCGGGGCAGGGCGCTCGGGTCTCAGAGCCACCTCCGCGCCCGCCCGCAGCAGGAGGAAGGCCACCTCCTGGAGCAGTGCCGCGGCCTGGACGCGGCTGTGGTCCAGCTGACCAAGTTCGTGCGGCAGAACCAGGCTTCGCTGAGCCGCGTGCTGCTGGCCGAGCAGAAGGCCCTGTGGGTGTCCCGCAGGCTGCACCGGGCCCCGGGGCTGTCAGGGGCAGTCAGGCCAGGGGGACCCCGCACCCACTCAGGAGCAGGCCACGGTGGGCCTGCCTCTCCCCCCAGCCCCAAGCAGAGCGCTGGGCCCAGTGGAGCGCACGTGGCAGCGTAGCCCCCTCCCCCTGGGGGCTCCCGTCCCTCTGCCTGTCCTGTATGAGGGGTGGTTCAGCTGTGGCAGCAGCCCTGTCTTGGCGGCCCATGACAGCACTTGCTCCTCTCAGCCGGGGTCTAGAGCCAGCAGGCAGGCTCCCCTCCCTGGCCCAGTGCTGAGGGGCAGGCCAGCCCTGGCTGAGGGGCAGTTTCCATGACACCAACCCCCAGGGATGCCAAGGGCCGCTTGGAGGACGGCCAGGCGGGAGCGCTGGCGTCGCAGGTGCAGGAGAGCCTGGAAGTGGCGAGGCGGGCCCGCGAGCTGGCCCTGCAGGAGACTCACAGCCAGCTGTCTGCGGTGAGGGCCGTGGGGGCCGGGCCGCCAAGGTCGCCCAGGCACACGGGACAGGGCAGGCCTGAGCTGGGATTCCCTGCCCCACGCCCGCCCCCTCAGCTCCGGGAGAAGAGCCAGGCCCTGGAGGCGTCGGTGGCCCAGCTGGCTGGGCAGCTGAAGGACCTGAGTGACCAGTTCCTGGCCCTGAGCTGCAGGCTGGACCTGCAGGGGCAGATGCTGGGGCTGCGGCTATGCGAGGTGAGCCGGGCGGCGGGCAGGGGGTGCGCCGGGCAGACGGGTGTCTCGTGCCAGGGTGGAGCCCTGGCCGGGTCCCAAGCCCCCACCCTCCCACGGGAGGTCTGCCCGGCCCAGGGGACGTCCCCTGCTGCAGCCTCAGCCCAGCACTGCGCCCGGTGCAGGGCTGCCCCAGCCCCGTAGCCTCCAGGGGGCCGGCGGGAGTTCTTGGGACAGGCGGGCGTGTTCTTTCCTTAACAGCTTTATTGAGATGCAGGTCACAGCCCACTCCCCCCCTCCCAAGGTGTGTGGTTCGAGTTTCCTGTGTGTTCTCGGGCTGCACAGCCATCGCCACAGTCCCTTCTAGGGTGTCGCCGTCACCCCAGAAAGACACCTGCCCCCCCCACACCATTTGCCCCGCCCCCGCCCCTGGGAGCCAGCGGTCTCCACGGATTTGCCGTTCCGGCGTTTTATACACGTGGAGTCACGCGGCGTGGGGTCGCGGTGCTGCCTGCCACTCTTGCTGGGCGTTGCACTTCTGTTCCATCGCGTGGGGGACCCCGTGAGGACTGTCCCCTCGCCCACTGGTGGGCATCGGGTTGTGGCCACGTCTGTCTGTTGTGAACACTGCTGTGGACATGGGGTCCGGCCTTTGGTGTGGCGGCTCCATGCCCCGGCCTGGCCTGCTGCCCCAGGCATGTATGGCCAGAACAGCCCCAGCCTCGACTTCCCTCCCCTCCCCAGTGGCCAGGCTGTGCTGTCCTGTCCCTGCTGACCCTGCGGGGGCTGCAGGGGCTGCTCTCAGGACGCGGCTCTGCTCAGCCTGGCGGCCCCACCTGGGAGGGCCCTGTGGCTGCCTTGGCCCTGTCCAGAGTGTCTGTCCCCAAATGTGCCTGTCCAGTCTGTGCACAAACGTGCTCAGAGTCAGAGGTGGGCTCAGGGGCTGCCCGTCAGCTCCTGGGGCCTCCCTGTGCTCTGGCTCCAGCAGGCCCCATCCACCCACCCACCTGCCCACACACCCTCCTGCCCACGCACCCTCCTGCCCACCCGTCCATTTGCCCACCCGTCCACCTGCCCATGTGCCCATGTGCCCACACGCCCACCTGCCCACTTGTCCCCTGCCCACACACCCACCTGCCCACCCACCCACCTGCCCATGCACCCACCTGCCCACGCACCCTCCTGCCCACGCGTCCTCCTGCCCACACGCCCTCCTGCCCACCTGTCCACCTGCCCACCCGTCCACCTGCCCACGCATCCACCTGCCCACCCGTCCACCTGCCCACCCACCCATCTGCCCCCGTCTGCCACCCTCTCCACTGCCCCGTCCACCTGCCAGACCCGTCTCTGCCCCGTCTCCTGCCACGGCATCCTCCTCGCCGCCGCTCCTCTGGCCCACGCGTCCTCCTGCCCACCGTCCACTGCCACCGTCTCTGCCACCCGTCCACCTGCCCACGCGTCCCCTGCCACCCGTCGACCTGCCACCCGTCCACCTGCGCGCGTCTGGCCACCGTCCTGCACCCCTTCCACCCGGCTGCCACCCGTCACGTTGCCCACCCGTCTCGCTGCCCGCGTCACCTGCCACCCGTCTCCTACCACCCGCGTCGTCCTGCCACCGTCTCCTCCACGCGTCGTCCCTGCCCACCCATCTGCCCTGTGACCTCCTGCCACCCGTCACCTGCCGCTCACCTGCCGTCTCCTGCCACGCGCCTCCTGCCCACCGTCCTGCCACCCGTCACACCCCTGCACGACGTCCACCCTGCCCACGTCGACGCTGCCAACGACGTCACCTGCCCCCACATCCGCCCCTGCCCACCCCACCTGCCCACGCGCCCTCCCTGCACACCCCGTCCATGGCCAACACCCTTCACTGCCACCGTCCCTCCCCACACGTCCACCTGCCACCCGCGTCCTGCCAC